TGAACATCCCCATTGCAAATGAATGATTCTGCTTTCTCAGAGTAAAGCATTGTTTGATTAGCGAGAAGTTTCAAGGGAAATCAAGAACAGCCAATATCTATTTCCCTTGTTCTGAGCATAACTGGAGGTTATACTGCATAGAACCCAGAATAACTTCAAGCAGCTGAGTAGCCTTAACTGCCTATGGTCAACCCCTTGAGAAAAGATGTTTATTGTTGGATAAAAAACTTGTCATCTAACCCAATCAAACCTCAGCATCTTCTATGAATCTGTACAAAACTTAGTCTTGCAGATATGTTTTGGTATTATGTCTTCAGAAACCCTGCAACCCACATGAAGACCAGCTCTCAGGGCTCCCTGCTTTCCAGCCAGGTGATAAAAAACTATATTCATAACACATAGGGATGGAGAAAGACACAACCTTGGTGTCCCACCTGCAGGGATGAAGACCATGAGGATAAGGCCGGCAAGGTCCAGGCAAGTGGGGGAGATGGGAATCTGAGTGGTACAAATTATTCCTGACCCCTCTGCAATTATCAAACAAGGAGCTGGGAAATTCAGTTACTGGCACAGCTATCCAGGGAGTCTCCATCCCTGAAGGGGTTCAAAAGCCACGTGGATGTGGCACTTGGGGACATGGATTAGTGTGGGCTGAGTAGTTCTGGGGAAATGGTCAGACTCTGTGATCCTGAGGGGCTTCTCCAACATAAAGGATCCTGTGATTCTATGAACTGACCCCTGAATTTCATGTCCTTTTACAACTCCATGGGGTCAGTAGGTCTCCCAGTGCAGCTGCAAGCTGTTATTAATGCATCACTTTGGCAGGACATCAGACACCCACAGAGTGATCCAAAACCGGCAATACCCAAAGTAAAACAAGCACCTGGCTCCAGTTTTGAGCCTGTCCCTTGCACTAAGGCTCAGCCACAGCCATACAATCCTAAGGCTTCATAAACTCAAGTGAAGCAGCACGAAGCTGAACAATAGCCCTCCCTTGTAATTAATACCTGTAGTGTAAATTAATCCAGGCTGCCAATAGAAGCTGCTGGGTAAATAAGAATCTGTGACACTATCCCTGTCAAAGGCCTATGGGCATACAATGCCATAGATGTGAATACAGGGGATAGAGGATCATTCAAACAGGAACACTTAAAGATGTAACCTGTTCTCCTTGAGAAATGCATGACATTCCACAACAAACCTGATAGGAGGCGTTTTATTCAGATAAGTAAATGCAATCACTCAGGTGTCTGCAACTGCCAAGTCAGACAACCACAGTAGTTCTATTTGGGTCATGAAAAGTATCTACTTCTGGATTTTGAGTGTGTGTATCCATTTTTTCCACTCTATCTATCTATCTATCTATCTATCTATCTATCTGACTGATTTTTTGCCACACATTCTTTTCCGTATTTTTAAATTATTCCTCTTTTCTCCCCCCCATCTTAAAATTAACCTTTCCAAAGCTCACAGTCTACAGGAAGTCTCTATCTGGACTGTGCTCCTCCCCAAGAAAGAGGATGAGTCTGCCCATAGTTTAGTCAGTTTTGGTATAAGCACCAACAGCCCATCTTCAAATAGGCTTCAGATGCCTTTTCAATGAATCAAAGATATGAAAAAGAAAAGGAGTTTATGTTTTTCAAGCCCACATCCTTCCCACACAAAGCACAGAGAAGGTCCCAGTAGTGACCTCTAGTTCACTGAGGAAGAGGAAGGTAAATCCTCATGACAAAGACAGGAAAGTTCTCCAGGAGAAGATCAAAAGCTGAGGGTGCTGCAGGAGAAGGAACCTGGAGAAAACTTGTTTGATTCCCTCCAAAACAATCCTGACTGTGACAGCAAATGGAGTATGAAAGCAAAGCATGAAGCTAAGTTTGGCAACAATAGTGTCTGAATGGTTTATAAAGAAGAACTGAAGAAATAAATGGATTGATGATGTGATTAAAGACGCATAACTAGAAATGAGAAGAATATGGCACTGAACTGCTAATGGGAACACAGACTTAGGAGGGAATTACTTATCTTTCCTTACATAAACTTATATAATTTTTCATTATCTAGGGGCCTAGAAAATATTAATACTCAAAGAGTAAACACCACTATTTAATCCATTGGAAAGAAAAACAAAATACCCTAAAACACAATCAAATTCAGGGCAAACTACTTGTATGTACAACAAAAATCATATCACAATCTCATTTCAGACCTTTAAGGATTCAGAGCGAGGCATATTAATTCAGATACATTTACATTTGCAGCTGACAGTTCACCACAGCAGTCTGGGGATGTTTATCTTTCATTAATTATGGTTCAAGGGGAACTGCAACCTGAGATAGCTGAGCTAACCCTCTCCTCTTACAGATTCAGACCTGCCACCTGGAAGTCATCCAACCCTTCACCCAGCCTCTGGCCTCAGCCCAGCTCCCGCCTGGGCACAGGCGGCTGCAGAGCCCAACCTGTGCTGCTCAGGCATGGGGGTTTATCTCTGATAAAGGCAGTGAGTGCTCATGCACTTCTGACAAAATCCTGCCTAAATCTCTTTTTTTCATGCTCGGGAGATGATCTTACTCATATTTATCCCAGGCCAAGCACATGGAGAGCAATTAATCTGTATCCCAGAGCCACTTCTTCAGAAGAGCTAACGCTCGGACTGGCTGTTCTGCTTGTGAAATGCAAAGTAGCTCCTGCAATTTCATTGGAGCTGCACTCTCCTGTACAGCTGAGGGTTTAGCCCACAAGTCTTTTCCTGATGTGAGACATGTGTTGAACAGGATGGAGGAAATCACACACGTTCCCTTGAATCATTTCTCCCAGGCAGCAGCAATAATAAATTTGGATAAGGTGTTGTGTCATTTAAAGATCTATTAAGATTGAATGGTTGACTTCCTCCTCAAGGGAACCTCTCCTTAATTGTACATTGCTTTGACTCATACACTACCTTCTCCAGAGCCCTTCTGCCCCTCAAGCATCCTTAGATTCTCTATTTCACAAATCAATTTGTTTAAAAAAGCAGCAAGATACTTCAGCACACACAGCCCCAGTAGTAACTGGGTAGGTTTTTGGCAGATAAAGTCTCCAGAAGTTATCTTATTCCCTTGTGGCAACCACCCTGGGGATGTCTGCATTTTAAAAATGCTCCAATATGCATTTCTTGTCAATGGATATTATTTGTGCATGCTAGCTTGCTGCATCTCCCCCTCAAATCCATGGGCATAGAACCCCTGTGGAGCCCAGCCAGCTGGGCAGTGGGGCGAAGCGGGCAGAGGGAAGGAACTTCTCCTTGGATCCCAGGGGGCTTGGAGAAGCTCCCACGTGAGTCCAAAGACAGGCTGGTCCCACAAGCAAAGGAAAGAGGCGCTCTCCCTCAGGATTAGTTCCAAAGTTTAATGAGGTCCTGGGGAGATCCCAGGCCACAACTGGCTTCGAAGGACCTCCAGAGCAAGAGCGAGGGTCTCCTGGCCCGGAGCTGCCAGATACAGGGGGGCAGGGAAACCCGAGCAGGTAATGGGGAAAGGACATGGGAGTGGCTCTCGGGGGGCAAGACCTCAGAGTGACCACTGAGGAGGGGGTGGGGGAGGAGTCCCAGCCAGGGTCCAGCTACCTGGTGACCCTGGGGGAAGGATCTGGAGAAAGGGGAAGGGTCACCAGGTGATGGACACATCACCTGGGAGGAGACAGGGGGTGGGTTGGGGTTTGATGGACATACAGGTACTGATGGGAAAGCTGGGATGGACCAAACAGGTACAAAGAGGGGATATGGAGGGACAAACCATTATGAGGGGATATACAGTGCAAACACAACTCTACACTAGCTCACATGCAGTATCTTTTCATGGTTACATATTCAACATTCCAGCACTCTTTTAGAAGGCTGTATCTCAAAAGTGCAAAATTACTCAATGATTCTGGGTTAGTTTCGTGTATTCTTTCACTATTAACATGACCTCAATAAAAATAACAATACTTTGCCCTTCTAGAGCATCTATCAATGCTCACAACACTGCTTAAGTCTGGCAATAAATTGGTTTTACCGAATAATTGCTCTTAAAGTGGTAATGTCAGCAACGTTATTGCAAGAGGTCTACTAATTATTCTCAATTAGATTCAATCCTGGCAAAAGCACAAGTTTCCTCTTTTTAGCACTGAACCATACAGCTCTCTTTCCCCACAGACCTGTGGCTGATGGTCTTCACTTCCATGTCCAAAACTAAGCTCCCAGAAAGGAGCAGTGCCCTGGTGAGTCTATCAGGAACACACAACTCTGTTTCCTCATTAGCACTTGCAGATGGGGTGCTGACATCCCACCTGAGGCTGGTTTGCTGGCTCCTCTTTCACATCTTGGTCACTCACATTTCATGCACCATATATGTGTGGCCGGCACTGGTACCAATTTGGGAGTGTCTGTTGTGCAAACTATCCTAGCCTCATTTCAACATCATTAGCTTAAAACCACACTGAAAAAACAGGCACCAGCTCACTGTGGGTATCATACACACATACAGCAAAACCAGCGTGGAGTTACAGCAAAATCAGCGCAGAATTACAGCAAAAAGGTTGGGTCCTCTGTGGAAATTTCCTGCAGGACATCACCAGAGACTGAAAACACTTCACTTTATGGACAGGACTGCAACCACAGTAGCCACAGGGTAGCACACAGGGGTACTAGCTACAACTTTCAGGGTAGGATGCCTCTCTTCAAGCAGGTACTCAAGTTAATTTAATGTTGTCACCACAGATCCCTCAGTACTCAATGAATGAGTGGAGCTTCTCCAACCAGTGATTTATCCCATCCTAGGACATCAGATCTAATGCTGGAAGAAGAAATTACCCTCTTGAGTCATCTTGCATCTTCCTATATCTCTCTCCACTGACTATAAAGAAAACTTATATTAGCTTAGACTACACAATTACTTTTTATGTGATGACATCCTCTCAAAGCAACACTGTCCTTTCCTATGAGGCACCAGAAAGCCAAGTTGTTTTTTTTTTTTTAACCTTACTTTTGGGCACATCCATGGGATTCAGGCTGCCAATGAGGTCTCTGACATACAGCCCATCCCCATCCTCCTTGCTTAGCCAGTTGTTACAGGGGAAGTAAAACCGGAGGTGAGGTCTGTTCATGTCGGTCACGATCACACGGTCGAGGAACCATCCCGCATTCAGTCCAGTGTTGTCATGCTCAATCCTAGAGGAAGAACAACCCTGTTTTAGTATTCTGGTTAAGACTGACTACTAGCACCATAATTTAGTGGAATATTATTTACTAGGCAAGGCTAGAGCAACTGTACACATAATTCCTGTTTATGGCTGTCTATCCAAGAGTTTCAAGGAACTTATGTGCTTTACAGGGTATATTAAAAATAACAACCTTCCATATGGGCAGAGATCACAGGTGATTCTGTGAATCTTTTATTTACAAGGAGATGCTCACAAACATACCTCCACCTCCACATTATTCAACATATGCATTCATTCACATTGCACTTCATATCTAAAACACAGATACCCAGTGCCCCTCCCGCTCTATTCTCCTCTTGCATTGTTTTAACCACCTCTTCCCAGCTTTCTTTGTACTACTTACTAATTTTAAATTTTTCATCAGTCAGTCAGACAGTGGTTAAATATAATAATTATCATTTTCATTATACTAAGTTAGAAAAAGGGGATGGCAAACCCCATTTACCTACATTGGGACATAAAAACAGTCCTAAACATCTTTCCCCATGATTGCATATGACAGAAGTACAATTCTTGATGGGGAGCATGGATACTTATAAGCAATACCTTAGGTGATTTCACACTTCACTTCAAATTTTCGGTAGTAAACAAGCTTTTACCACCCCTTAACTTCACCTTGATGGGAGCACGTTAAGAAATAATGAATAAAACATGGAAATACTTTAACCTCTACAGCCTGTCGTCCTATTAATACCTCACAAAGCAGGTTGTGCAGGTACCTTATTTTCTTTATTTGTCCGACATTATTGGTTTTCACTCGGAACACATCTGTTTTGCTCCTCTCAAAGGCCGTGCTGCTCCTGCAATGCACATGCATCAAAAGGAATGGTGAAAAACCAGCAGCCTTGACAGCAAGCCAGCGTATAAGGATAAAGAAGTGTCATTCCTAATGCTGGAAAGACCTACTTTTCAGTGCCCTCTCCCCCGTGACAGGTTTTGGATGCTCTAAGTACTGACATTAAGCAGACTTTTTTACTTATCAGACTCCAAAAGCTCTTCCAGAAGCTGAGGCAGAAGCTTTGGGGCAAATGCAATATGCTTTGTGTCACAGGGTCCCAGACCCAGACATGTCCTTTCCTGTCATCATAGCCTCCAGGCGTCAAACAGACCTGCTCCTGGTGGTGGAGCAAAGGGCTCCAGCAAGATTCCTGTGTGGCCACAGATCTGCCCAGGACTCAGCCAGAGATAAAAGCATCTAACCACATCCAACTTTCCAGGCCCATCTCCCATTACTTTTTTTTAAACAACTGCTGAAACTTTGGTCCTACAATTTGCATCTTATTCCAAGTAAAACAATTGAAGGCAGGAAGTAGTTTCACTTTTTTGGGGGAAGTGTTAAATGTGCAGTTTGTATTTCACAGGTGCAAGTGCAAAATATAAAGTCTATTGGCCCAGGTCAGGGGATGTAGAAGTTAAGTCCCAGTTCTGCCTCCAGCCTGCAGTGTGATCCTTGGCAAGCAGCTCTGTCCTTTTCTGAGCTTGTATTTTCTACAAAAGCACTATAAATAACATCCAGGCAAAGCTCTGAAGATACAGCCTCTCCCACCTGCCCTCCCTGATGGGCCCCCATTTTCTCTGGGCTGGTAAGCATGGCTACGGATGATTAAACACAGCAAAATCCTAAAGTTGTGTTAAAATGAACAAGAAACCATAGCACTCGAGCAATGCAAAGCCATGGTGAAGTGGTTTGCACATAGAAATTTAATTAATATTAATAATCCCAGCAAGGGGGTTTGGCTTTGCTTGCTGCTCTTCACTCTGCAGGTTGCTGAAGGACCTGCATGTGCCTTGCTTACAGGTCATTTTGTGTTCTGCTAAACCCACGCCCAGCCTTCCTCCTCCTCCTCCTCATCCATTCTGCTGTTTCATACCCCATGCCAGGAGCAACACCAGTGTATGAAAAGGCTAAAATGGTTAACCTTGCCGTGAAGACAAGAGGCAATTGCACCCAGATCGGCCTCGCCCAGCCTGGCTGCTGGAATGAAAACAGCCAGCGAGTGCAAGGCAATTAGTCTGTCAGGCTTGAATGAGCATCGTAATGACAGCAGCTTCTCCCCGCATTGGCTCGGAGATCGATGCAGTGCTGCAGACTGCTACGGAGATGGCATGAAAGTATTAAGTGAGAATAATCAGCCCAAAGCTCTCAGTGCACCAGTCCCTCTGGCTGCTGGTTTGTGGCAGTCCCGCCGCCGTGCTGGGCTCTCTTATTTGCTGGGTGGATGCTGGGGAGCAAACCTCCTTCTGCAGGGCATCCAAAAGTGCCCACTGAGCAGATGCTTAGTGCATCCCAAAACAGCTTGGGGAAGCACTGGAAAATGTGACACAGCCCAGAAGTCAAACCCCTGAGAAGTCTTGCTGTTGAAAGGTAGGAAGAGTTTTGACAAGTCTCTTCCCTTGAGCTGGATCTGCAGCATCAACAGCAGCGGAAAAGAAAAATCCAGCCCTTATTTCTAGCACTGCCAATTGCATGGGGAGGGAGGGAGTGAGGGAATATCCCACAGTGAATGGCTACACTGAAATGTGGGCTAAAAAATGGAAAGAGTGAAAGAAAAGGAGAAATTATAGCTGGGCTATGTCAGAGTCTGGTCCAGGCTAGGACTAGGATGAGACAGTCACAGCCAGATTACCATAAGGAACTTGTTACACCAAACAATGAGGCACACTGGCTTGCACAGCCCTGGTGACAAATAAAGCAGGAAAAATATGACTTGGAAATTATGGCTAAATTTGCAATGTTCAGGCTTGACTGGGTTCAAACCCAGGGAGTTTAGACCATAAGCTTAGTCTAAGGATCTTTTGAATTTCACTATAGCCCTATCATTAATCTGAAATAACAGGCCAGGGCAACTCCAGAAATATGTTTTGGTTGGGTTTGTTATTTGACATATTTGATTGCCTCTAGCAGCTCTATTTTTCCCATATTCTGTTGCAACATTTTTCCCAATTACTTTGTAAGAAACATCCAAGGAGATTCATCAAAGACTAATATGTGAAATTCTTTTTTTTTTTTTTTTTTTTATTTTAAAGCTGTTTTCAGATTTTTTCAGCTGAGTAATTGCCTGCAGGCTGCACTGCTTGTGGCACTGCAAATGTACAATCATTCAGAACACTTTGTTCCCTGGTTAGGTTTGTGGTGCTACTAAAAGTCAGCAAGAGTTGGTACATATTTGAGTGTGGCATTTTTAAATCCCTGCATTCATCTCCTCTGCATGGGCACAGACAATGGGGCCAGGTGCCATGAGGGTTTTGCCACTTCTTGATAACCAGAAAGCCTTTATAATGCAGTTTTGTTTGCAAAAGTACATAAAATAAGTAAGCATTTGTACAAGTAAATATTTTTTTTTTAATGAAGGTGAATTAAAAAGAGTTGACCCACCACCTAAATAGAAGTCACATTTGGAATGGAAATCGTTTTCCCTTTTGATCAGCTAACAGCAGCCTTTTCACAGGTGATTTCTTAGGAACAGACAGAAAACCTAGATACTGATCACAGCAGAGGCATAAAAATAATGACCTTCAGCAGTGATGGAATAACATAAACCAATTTAGCTTTGAATCCCTGCTTAATCATTTAAACTGCATTTCCATTCAGTGTTTTACCTGAAAATGCCTTGTACACACAGAACTGCCAGCAGAAGCGCCATGGATTAAGGGCTGCACAGAAGCACAAAGTGTTATTCTGTGTGTCAGTTCAAACAAAATTTTAAAAATGCTCCATTAAACCATTAGAAAGAGTCAGTTCTTGGCTGCATCTCCCTGAAATGCTGTCCACAGGTCTGCCTGTTCCTGCCATGGATGTTTAGCAGCAGCTGGAGGAGGTGAGTATCGGGGATGATTTTGGAAGGTTGTTGAGCCCAAACCGTCTTAAAGCCTGCCACTCTCTAGGAAAATATAAATGCTACTTGGTTCACCTGCTAGGTCAGGGGAGTTTCTCATGCACTATGGGTGGGCAGTGTAGAATGTCACAGAATGACAGAATCATTTGGGTGGGAAAAGCCCTCCAAGGACTTTGAGTCCAACCATGCCCACAGCCCAGCCAAGGCCACCACTAACCCATGTCCCCAAGTGCCACATCCACGTGGCTTTTAAATCCCTACAGGCATGGGGACTCCATCACCACCCTGGGGAGCCTGTTCTGTGGTTTGGCAGCTCTTTCAGTTGAGAAAATTTCCCTAATATTCAGTCAAAACCTCCCCTGGCCCAGCCTGAGGCCGTTCCCTCTCCTCCTGTCCCTGTTCCCTGGGAGCAGAGCCCAACCTGCTGGCTGTCCCCTCCTGGCAGGGGGATGTGCAGAGCCACAAGGTCCCCCTGAGCCTCCTTTTCTCCAGGCTGAGCCCCTTTCCAGCTCCCTCAGCCCCTCCTGGGGCTCCAGCCCCTTCCCCAGCTCCGTTCCCTGCCCTGGACACGCTCCAGCCCCTCCGTGTCTCCCTTGGCCTGAGGTGCCAGAGCTGCAGCCAGAATTTAACGTGTGTCAGAACTGAATTGAGAGGGACAGGAAGGAAAGTTTTTCCCAAAACCACACAATGAATCCTGCTCCCTTCCCCATATTTTTGCAATAGCTAAAGTGCTCTCTCTCCACATCCTGTTTCTATGTAGGATTTCCCTTCCACCCTTTGGCCAGTATCATCTGTAAGAGTGCCATGAAAAGATGTCAGGGATGAGCACTGGTCTGTCCCTGTTGTTTAACTGGCTTGAAAGTACAGATAACTTCTCTTATCCTCAGGTTGTTCTAATACACATTATAGGCTGTGTGAACCTGTGTTATCAGGCCTCTGGCTAAGATGGCATCTTGCTAGCAGATGCAAAAGGTATTGGAAAAATTCTGACAATGTGTTAGCCTCATCCCTCTGTCCCTCCCAACACATCCACAATCGATCACTCCTAGAGAGAGGACATTGTCATGTACAAACTAACTACAAAAAATCCCCTATATTTCAAACCATAGCAGCTCTTAGCACAGAGTTCCAATAGCAGCATCATTAGCCTCCTCCTTGGAGCAACAAATACTCCACAGAGATTAGTCTGCAAATATTTAGCCAAGTCTGCTGTCATGAAGCTGACAACATCAGTCAGCTGGTGGCTGGGAATACCACGTGAGGCAGCATACATCCAAAACCACTCCAAAAGAAACCAGCAGAAAAGCACAGCCATTGTCAATGTTTGTACTAAGGATATTATCAACCAGGAGAATGAATCCTGCTTCAAGAGGCACTGAAAAATTGGTGAAAAAACAGCCCCACTTGCGAGGGTTTAATTGGATGAGATTAACTGCTCAGGGTTGTAGCAGAGTGATGACACCCGGGAGCCAAACACCAGACCAAAACCATGGGAGTCTGAATTTACCCCAAAATTTTACAAAGTGAAGGTGCACTGACTCTGCCTTATCCATAAGCATTCCAGATACAGATTCAGACAGCCTTAATTACAGACATTAAGTGCTCCTTCACTTTGTACTCCATGGAGCAGCATCATTTTAATATCAGATATTTTCATCTTTGGTGGTGTGATTTGCATAAACAAAACAAAGTAGTGGTGTTTAATTTAGATAATCTTAGCTATGCTTTATCATGAAATCATTGAATCATAGAATGTCCTGGTTTGGAATGGACCTTAAAGATGATTTCTTTCCAGCCTCACTGCTGTGGGTGGGGGTGCCTCTGTTCAATCTCAGTTTGGCAATTATTTTCTAGAGAAACTGTATGCAAAGCAAACAGTGCCACCAAGAACAGTGAAAAGTTTTCTCAGTATTTCCCAGTATAAAATTACATGTTTAATTACATCCACTTTGCCAGACTGAGATAAATTTTAGTCTGTTGAAAATTTTCATCCCCTTCCCATGGAGAAATATTTTTAAATTGTTGATGACAATGAGCTCAGGCATTTTTAAGATTGACATTAATGAGTTGGGATAGGGGCAGGACTTTGAGCAAGACAGAATGTTGAGTTCATTCCAGGAATACACCTTACTCTTATCCCAAGGGGAAAACTGGCCAGGTTTTACAGTTTGAAAATTGCAGCTGACACTTGATCAGCAGGGACCTGGGTCTAACAGCTGAATTCCCTTAATAAAAGTCTGGCTATTCTAAGCAAAATCATGTTTTTCTCTCTAAGGCTTGAACTTCCTTGTAGTTGTACCACGAGCTGCTGTGTTCATAACTGCTGTTGGATTATAATTTATACATACACCAATTATACCCTCTTATATTTAGGTTGATCAACACCTTGGTCTAAGCACTCTCTCAGGTACTTTATTGCTGAAATACTAGACACAGGCTGGCTAATAAGACTGAGAAAGACAGAGGAAAAAAAATCCTATTTAGTTTCTTTTTCAGAAGTGAATATGGGCTCCAAAATTGCTGTTACTTAATGCTGTCCCAGACCATTAAGTCTTCAAAGAGCACTGAAAGTGCTACAGAATTGTACAGACATAAATCAGGGTAGATTTAGATACATAAACAACTGTAAAATGGGAAACAGCATGTGCCATTAAAGGAAAAGGGTCACAGCTCCCCTCTGAAGCAGCACTTTCACAATAAGGTGAGAATCCTTCCCCCTCTGCACTTGGTGTTTGTTCTCTTCCTAACCTGAACAGCTCTTTCTGCCCCAGCTACCTAACCCTTCCTAACTCATATTAACTGCTCAGAGTAAATAAGCTCTCTTTCCTGTATTTATTTATTTATTTATTTATTTATTTATTTATTCTAGAGAGGTTAAATAACAAAATCAGATCTACTTCCACTGGGCTTGGCTTAACTGTACTAGAGCTACAAACATTACCATCATCTGAAGATTATCCAGTACATAATCTACAATACAATGCTGGTTTAAGGAGCAGGGAAAACTCTGTATAGTCACCCAAGATCAGGTAGAAGGGATTGTCAATTTATTGTTTCAGCATCAGAAATTTTTTTTTGATCCTCTGTGTTGTCATAAAATTCAGTAGAAGGCCAGCAGTCACCAATTATTTCACCTCTCTTCCACATTGCCATAGCTGTTAAATCTTCTCTTAACTCTTTCTTCCTTGTTTTCCTTTTCCTCAAGGAAAAAACCTCTCTGTGATATTATTTGCAGTTGTCTCCAACTGGACCAAGTAAGCTTAACACTGAAAAATTGCACTAGCAAAAAAACCATAGATTTGGACTAAAAACTGTGAATGAGCTGGCAGTGGCTCTCCCAGCTGAGTGTTGCACTATTTCTCCAGCCTCAACCTGGTGGGAAGCACATGAACATGGAGAAGTAAAATACTGTGGAGGATCAGCAGTGGAGATAAAATACTGTGGAGGATCAGACTCTTTGCTCAGAGTGGGATCACAGAGGAACAATTCACGCCTGTGGGAAAAGTTTTGACAACTGTCAAAATGCCACCAAGTAAAACCTTGGTGTTTACTCATGTGCCTGTGATGAAGCCAGTGGAAAGAAACTCATTTCTGGTAGTGCTTTTAGCTTCTGGCTGAGCTGTACCTGATGCAGGGTGGTGGATGGGGAACTGAAGAGTTGCATAAACTGGGTTTTGAAGTGAGATTTTGCCAAGAGCTTCTGGGCCCAAGCAGCACTTTGCCAGTACCAGTGATACAGCCCCCCCACAAGCAGGCAGACAGTGACTGCAAGGGAGGTGTCATTCCAGCCATGCCCAGGCACCCAACACTACTTGTCTGAACCTTCTTTCCAAAATAAATCACATAATCACCAGATTTTTGTGTTGGAAGGGACCTTAGGGACCTTAAAGTCCATCTCATTCCACCCCCTGCCATGGGCAGGGACACCTTTCAGTACACCAGGTTGCTCCAAAGCCCATCCAGCTTGGCCTGGAGTATCCCTCCCAGGGATGGGACAGCTTCTCTGGGCAACCTATACCGGGCCTCAGCATCCTCATAGCCAAGAATTTCCTTCTAATATCCACCTAACCCTGCCCTCTGATATTTTTAAGCAGTTTTCCCCTTGTCTCAACACAGCATGTCCTTTCTTGCAGCCCCACTCTGGGACTCAGCTCTTGGCTCAGATTTTTACTGCTGTTACTTCCAGAACTGATGTTCCTCCTGACCAGTCATGACAAAGATTTGTGTCTTTCACAGTTACCGTATTGCCGGCCAATGTTAAAAATACACAACATTTCATCAGCTTGCCATGTCTCCCCCTTAACAGCCCATGACAAAAAGACCTGAACAGTCATGTCTTTCACTACCAGCACACAGTCAGGAAAGAAACAGGAAAAACCCATTCTAACCAGAAGCCGAAGTGGTAGCATCATCTTTAGGCAATGCATGATATTTTAGCTGTCTGTCATACATGGGGAAATGTAAACACCTATAAAATGTCATGCATTTGCAGTCATAAGTGAACTCGTTTAAACATTTAGTTGAAAGATGCATGAGATTCCATCCTTTTGCCATATTCACAAAGCTGCATAACAAGTTTGGGGAGGGAGGGGGGCAAACTGGCTATTTCATGGTTTTCTTATAATTAGGAGGCAAGACTATCAATTAAGGAGGTCTGAAGGCACTCCTACACCCAGACTAGATGTTTTTCTCGCCATTCCTTGATGGAACACTGTAAAGCACCAGACTTTGCTTAGAGACACAGAAATTTTGCTGATGTTTGGGAAACCCCCAGTGGAAAGCTGTAGTTGCAGTTCTAGTGGTCACCTCCTATGGGACCAGTTTCAAGAGCCCTGAACTGCAGAAGGTAGGCGTCCCGAGCCTTTCATGCTGGCTTTCCACACCTCAGCCATCTGTTCACTGCAGCAACAGGGACCAAGCCAAAAAGGCTAACTCAGGTCCAAACAAGCTCAGAGTGCTGCTGCTGCAACCTAAAATAACTCTGTGCATCCTTTCTTTTTCCCTTTCACAAAATGAAAGTGGTGAGAGCAGGAGGAAAGAGGAGGCATTAACCCAAGTGCCAGCAAAGACCCACCCACACAACCAGCAGCACATTTAACACCACAGCTGATGGACATATTTTGACTTCTCTGAAGGGCATAGAATTTATTTATTAATATTTTATGGTAATATTTGGGTTCTTCCCATAGCTTCAAGTAGATGAGTGCTTTCCGAATGAAATTGCTATTTATGTAAATGCTGACCACAAGACAAATCCCTGGAAAGCAGATATTTCTTTGATGGTTTTGTCAAATACTACAGGGCAGGTTTGGAGGCTAGAAGCTCTTTCCCCCAGCAGAGCTGCTGCTGCTGCTTCCAGCTCTGTCACTGATCTGCAATTCCCTCTTAGGTCCTTGCCTCATTTTCCTTCTCTGTCACATCAAAGAAAATGGCATTCCACTTTGTCAGTTTGTTAGGATGTCTGGATGAAAATCACACAACAAAACCAAAGCATTTCATATAGATATATAAAATACAATCAGGACTGGTGTTTCTAGAAATTCTGGGATAATAGAATTCCTTTGCCTAGCTCTGGTTTCTGAATTTGAAATATGGCAAACAGGGCTGAAATTTCATGTATTTTCTTTACCATTCCCATATCATTTTCTTTACAGACTCTCATGTTTGAGTTGTTTCACTGGGAAGAGAAGTTCTTTTGAGGGTAAAATTTAAAATAGCTGCAGGTACCTCTTGTCGGTGCTGTAGAAATGGAGAAAATGTGAGGTTACCGTGTGACATTAGCACAGGATTAATAATTCTGAAACACATTTCCAAGAAAACCAAAACAATAAGAACACCAAAAAAACAGACACACACAGCCTCTCCTAGACTTTCTGGAGAAGGAATTTCTGCTTTATCTTAGTGCAATTGCCTGACTAAGGGAAAGTTAGTACATTGCAGAGCTGGTGCTTTGTCAAAAGTCATCTTGATTTCATAGGAAATGAGCACCTGCTGATCCTGATGTTCACTTTGTAAATTAAACAAAAAAAAAAAAATAGCTATTTAGAGAGTCAAAAGCATCTTAATAGGCTCTTAAATTATAAAATAGGGCTCCCACTAAGTTCAGCGTGCTGATAAGGAATGAGAAGATGCATCCATAGAATGGTGTTGACATCAGCTGGAGGAAAATAGAACAGGGCCACCAGAATGATGTGCAACTGCAGTGGTGTGTAGCATACAGCAGATAGGATGAAAGCAGCTTAAATTAGGAGCCAGCTTAAATTTTTCATTCTTCCATTTCTGCTTGCCTCAGGTTTCCTATGGCTGGTAGTAGGTGGTCATCTATCAACATTACTTTAAACCCACTGAGTTACTCTTTAGAATCATTTGAGGACACCTCTGTCTGTACCTGACTAGCATGGAGACCTCAGTGGGATCTTAGCATGGGAATACAGCCCATCATGCCCACTTCTACAAGCAATGAATGTTCTCAGCTCCTAATTTGGGAGCTCCAAAATTAAGCTCTAAGAAAAGCAAGTATCTCCACACCTTGCAAATATGAGCATTATATAATGTGGATTTCCACCTACAGAAGGGAATGCAGGTTTGCAACGGATTGGATATAAAATACGCAATGCCAAAAATTCAGATTTCCCTGGTGATCTTAAAATACTATATAGATTTATTCCTTCCACATCCATCAGCATGATATTATGTTTCATCAAAATGCTTTAACAGTCCCTGAAGAGCAGGCCTCAAAGATACAGATTTCCTTTCAGACACTTACTTGCTGGTGAGATGAGTCTTGGGAGTGATCCCATGCTCTCCAAAGAGAGTGACAAAGACGTTGGCATCGGTTCCTGCTCCCCGGACATCTCCTGTCACTGTCACCACCTCATAAACTGTGGAAAGAGAAAAGAAACATCAGGACAACAGGAGAGAGCCTTGACCCTTTATGGATTCAAGTCATCTTGGAGCTGATAAATGCACCCTAGAGATGCATCTATGCACCCACTGCCCAAAAAACCCATCTCTTGGACAGGACATATTGAACCTAGCTGTTGAAAATCATCACATCAAACAAGACTGCTGGAGACACTTTACACGGGCAGAGAGGGACTGGGTTAGGATGGACTTTGCTACAAATAAAGCACTTGTCTGTGAACATGCTGCCTCTTCTACCATAATGCATGAGCATGTGTTACATAGAGCAGATGAATTTATGTGAAGTGTTAAAGCTGTTGAGCCACGTTTCATTTGTGCACATGTCAATGCAATGCATGTTTTCCTGTTTGCTCTGGTAAGATATTTGTATGGAAGCTGGGACATCACTACAGCCAGGAATTTTGCATTTTGGTTGTTGCAGAGATTTTACCAAAGACAAAATGGTAAATTGTGAGGAGAATCACAGAATGTCCTCAATTGGAAGAGACCTCAAAAGCCCAAAAAAACTCGCTCAACAGGACATGAATCTTTTCAGTCTCTCACAGGACCCACAAGGATTTAGTCCAACTCCTGGTCCTGCACAGACACACCAACAATCCCACCCTGAGCATCCTTGGGAGCATTATCCAAACACTCCTGGAGCTCTGGCAGCCTTGGGACAGTGTCCATTCCCTGGGAAGCCTGGGCAGTGCCTAGTACCCTCTGGGGAAGACCATTTCCCTGAGATCCAAATTAATCCCCCTGACAATAGGTAGGAAAACACCTAAATTAGAGTCTTGAAGATCTATCAATTTATCTTTCCAAGTAGTAGACAGAGTGACAACTGTATTTACACACACATATATCTTCTTGGGAGACACACAAGTTAAAAAGTGCTTTTCACTCAAGAGGCATGATAAGATCCAATGGCCAAAAGGCAGAGTTAGACAGATTCAAATAACAATAATTCTGTAGTCAGACATACATTTCTTAGGATGATGAGTGATGTTAGAACAAGACTTGAGGCTTGAAAACAGGTTACTTTACTGAAGGACATATCTTAGTTGGCTCGACAGAGAAGGAACTGGAAGAAATTACAAAACATTGCCTGTGGCCAAACTATGCACCCTGATGGCTCTTTTTGGCTTCAGACAACATGGTGTTCACGATGTAGTGATAGCATCTCAAACTCAGACCTATCAGCTAAGGGAGAGGCTATGCTTTCATCATTTCATCATGCACAAACTGACTGCTAACTATGGGATTTCTCACAACTAATGCTGTAAAAATGTCCCTCTTTGCGGGTGCATCAAAGCAATTACATATTTTATTAGTGTCCATCTCTCCCTCACTACATCACTAATCTATTCTATCCATGTATCTATTCGTCTATTCTATTATATTCTGTATTTACTCAAAAACATAAAAAATATATTTTAACTCTGCTCTGAGCATCACATGTTTTTCCACAATAACACTCTTCCCTCAAAACATAATCAAAAAGAAATTTAATCACCATTTCAACCAAAAGAGCTAAATGCAGGAACCTCATGTAAAACTGATTAAAAACTATTCTTTATTTCCATAAGCTCTATTGCATTGAGAAAAAAAAATAGTGCAATATTTTCCTAATCTCAACTTCCCATGAATATAAATAGGACAGAAAAGGGAACATTATTGTCATAAGTACAGGAAGTTGTGATCTGTGCTTGGCAACATTTTAAGCATCCCTTGGCTTGGTGTATTTCATTTACAGCTTCAAAGGAAGAGGAGATTTTTCTAAAAAAAACAAAAACAAAACAAAAACAAAAACCCAAACAAACAAAAAATCAAACAAACAAAAAAAAATACAAACAGAAAAAAAAAAAAAAAAAACACCAAAGAGGAAGAATATGGGATCAACAGTTTGCACATGAGTAATATGTATAAGCAGTGTTTTCATTTCACCATCCTCCTGTTAGCATTCCCACATGCCAGCGGGAGATGTTTGGCATGGCGGGGAGAGCCAGAAAAGGTGCGTGCATTAGCCATTAGCAGGAGGGAGATTTGTAACCCTCGCTGTCCCAGTGAGTCACCGCCCGTCACTCCGCCGCTTTCGGCCGCAGCGGCTCCGCTTCCGAGACAGCCGGCTCACCTTAGAATATTGCTGCGCTCATCCACAGCAGCCTTTTATGCCTGATCATCTCAAAGAGCTTTATGACTTATCTGTGCCGTGGAAGTATTTATCACTGTCAGAGCTTCCTACAGGCACTGCCAAAGTGGCAGCTACGGCTCAGCATCCCTCTGCAAGCTTCTGCCGCTGGACACGGCACTTTGTGCCTGGTCTAGTTGACAACATCGTGTTTGGTCAAAGGTTGGACTCAATGATCTTGGAGATCTTTTCCAACCTTGATTCCATTATTCCAAGCTTTTCTAGGGAAAGGGACTTTTAGGCATTGTCTCCTCTCTCCCCACAGAGCCTAAGCAGAACTTGCCCCTGTTCTGGTTTTCAGGGATGAGGTCAAGTAATGTTCAACTTTGTCTGGCATGCAGGCATTTTTCATGTGAAAAGAGAAAAAAAGCCACCACAACAATCTGTAATTTCCCAGACACCTTTCAAAAGATCCAACAGTTTTTCTAGTGAGTTTTTTTACTGCTAGAGAGCTGCTAGGACTTACAGATTATATGTCCATATAACAGAGTTTGCCATATTAAACCTGCCATCAAATGAAACATATTCTTGAGCTAGTCTGCTGCACCTGAGCAGGTATTGGCATCACCTCATCTATACAACCAATTTTAATTTCCTTGCTGAAATTGTAGAAAATTATCTACTCCCACTTTTCAGTCCCTAGTTAGTGAGGTGATGAGATACAGGGACTAAGATAAAACCCACCACAAAGCCACAATCCCCCCTTGCCCCCATTAAAAATCAAATCCCTTATCTGATTTCTGCAATGGGAGTCTCACAGTTGCAAACCAATGACAGCCCAAGTAGATGTTCACAAGCCCAAAATCAGCCTCCATACACTGCAGTGGGCAGGCAGCACATGGATGAGTAGTTTTTACCAGGACAGATGTGCTGAGCCCTGCTTGATTAGTTCATGCCATTGCCAGGCATACACTGTAGTTAACATAATTTTAATTAACTTTGCAGTGAGGGTCTGGGTTGATGACATCAGCACATCAAATGCATTTGGCACATGTCACAGTGCATTTCTGGAAGGGAGAAGGAGCCCTACCATCTCTTTTCCAGACTTACAGCTGGACGGCCAGCTGTGCAAATACATGCTGTCCCAGATTTCCAGTGATGTTGTAGATGCAGGGTCCATAATTTCCTTTTCTGGAAGAAAATTAAAGTTTAATGCTAATATTGATGCCAGCTCATTCTGCAAAAGGCAGGAGAAAAATGGAGATTATTTAGCCACTTCCTTCAAAGGTGTGGAAGTTCAGCAGTACAGATTCAAGATTGTTTCTTTTCTTTGCATTTTTTCAACAATTTTTTATCAGCCCCTGACAGCTTTCATATTTGCTCTGCAGTCTGAGGGCCCAGAAGGCATTTAAAGGTTACTGAGCTGGGGTGACGATAAATATTTTGTACCCCATCCCCTTTGCTGGGAGCAGCACCCATGATATTTTTCAAAAAGAACTGTGTAGGTTAGTAACATTTCATAACCACCCTCAAGTTTGCTCCTGAATAATTGGATATTGTGGCTTTGAGAAAACATGTCCAGTGCTAGCAAATTCCAAGCATAAACATCTAGTGTTTTGTGATTTAGGATGATAAATCTGAATTAACTAAAAAGCTTGAAATCGGATATCTGTGGAAATTATCTAACCAAAGCTGGCATCTAGGTTAGAAGGATCAAATTTACTACTTCAGTGCTCTAGTTTTGAAAGAGAATATTAGGAAAACACAGGAATTTAAATCTTAGGTGTCCCTCTAAGTTTCAACTATCTTCCAACCAAGTTCCTTATTTCCTTTTTGGATGGCCTCATGGTATTTCTAATCTTCCCATTTTGAGTCCCTGTTTTTCACACTCTCCATCACTCAAAAAGATCCAAATTTTTATGGAGGGTCCACCCCCATTATTATTTTCTGGATCATGGGCACTAATGCTCACCAAGGACTTTCCTACTTGGTGCCTCTTCAGAGCTTTGCAATAAATTTTGGCTTCTGCAATGTTAAAAACCAACTCCTTTTACATGTTCCTGCTCTTTTAATATACTGAGATATGCTTTTGCAGAGGCTTCTTGGCCTCTCTGTGTATGACTTTGCACCCATGATGCCCCTGCTTCCTTCTTGGTCAAACATAAGGTGTAAACCATGACATTTCCATATCTCCAAATACTTCATCCACATCCCTTCAGACATGAACAGGATTTCCAAAGATCTTCACCCAGGTGGTCAGTTCATGAAGGCAGCATTCAGATGCTGCTGTGGGGCTTGGAGCAACCTGCTCCACTGGAGAGTTTCCCTGCCCATGGCAGAGGCTTGGAATTAAATATTATTAAAGGTCCCTTCCAAGCCAAATTCCTCTGTGATGTGTGGTACTCCTTAATGCTTTTCCTAGCAACATTGGCTGAGTTTATGAAGTTTATGAAGTATATGGCAGCCCTTGAGTAGAGGAGCCCCAGAGAGAGACAACCAATGCAAGAGAGAGGGGACTGGACCCCAGTTTGATCATCATGCTGCTCACAGGAAGACACCTACTATCAAGGCGCTTTTAGGTGGCAAACAACCCTGCCCCAAGGTCAAAGTGAGTCTATTCTGAGTGCTCAGATCATGGCCAAGTTACAGAAACCCAAAGTGTTAGTATGGAAATGACTGACTTTCAGCCCAGTCTCCAAATCTTGCTTTTCTCCCAATAGGCCAGGCAGAGTCAATACAAAGCTTTAATACACTTACTGATACAGACTCTTTTGTTCCAAATATTATCTCAATCAAGTGGAATTTAGTTCACTTATCTCCTCTGGTAGATATTGAATCCCCAGCTGA